TCTGCACTCCCACTGGCTGGGACCCTGTTGCCGGCAGCTTCTGGGGGCAGCCTGGTCTGCGGTGCCAGGAGAGGCAGGAAGCTGCCTTAGATCCACCGCTGCCCGGGAGCTGCTCAAGCTAAGCCCTTCCTCCCCCAGCCCTGAAACCGTCCTCTCCCCCCAAAGCCGGAGCCCCCTCCTACAGCCCAAAGCTCCTCCTCAGCCCACACTCCAGTCAAATCATGTTGGGTCGGGGTATCAACAATTTTCTTCAACTAGGTCATAAGAAAAAAAAGTGTGAAACCCCCTGCTGTAGATTATGTTGCCGAGCACCTCAGCTTTTAATCTTCAAAGCATCGCACGGGTAGCTACCGCTGACGCCTCCCACCCCCTGCGTGGCGGAGAATGAGTTTCATTCTCCAACGGGGCAGACTGACCCGGAGGGATGGAGTGACTCACTCAGGCCGTGCAGTGACGCAGTGGCAGAACAGAACTTACTGCTTCCACTTGCTTCACTGGATTTGAGATCCAGGCCGTGCTGCCGGCTAAAACGTCCCATCTGAAATGCACCCAGCCAAAAGCCAGGGGCGGGTTGCTGCAGGAGGGCAGGTGAGGTGATCATAGAGGGCCCTTCTGTCTCTAACTCTATGCAAACTCCAAAGCATTTCTCAGAGGGCGTCACACATTCTCTCACATGCTCCTTCTGCTCCTAGGCATGGGGGAGGAAACATCACCAGACACAGCGGCAGCAAAATTTAGCCATCGCCACCAGCCGGAGCTTAAGGACCTTCTGAGTGTCTCCGACCTGGAGTGTTCCCTCTGCATACGGTGAGTTCTTTTGTGTCACCAGAGGGCTTTTGCAGGAACGCATGAAAACCAAGTGGGGCTCGTTTTTGCTGGCCCGGAGCTTCTGCTCTCATCTTGCTGCTAAATTTTGCATGCCAAAGCACAATTGAAGCTAACTGCAGTGGACAAGGCTACCTAGACCTCAGAAAGGCATTTGCCACGGTTGCACACGACCTTCTTATCAATAAACAAACCTATATGGGGCTACTATAAGATGGGTGCATAACTGGCTGGATAAGCGTTCTAAAAGAGTAGTTATTAACAGTTCACAGTCATGCTGGGAGGGCATAACAAGTGGGGTTCTGCAGGGGTCTGTTTTGGGAGCAGTTCTGTTCAATGTCCTCATCAAGGATTTAGATAATGGCATAGAGATATGCTTATTAGGTTTGTAGATGATACCAAGTGGGGAGGGGTTGCAAGTGCTGTGGAGTTTAGGGTCATAATTCCAAATGATCTGGACAAACTGGAGAAATGGTCTGAGGTCAATAGGATGAAGTTCAATAAGGACAAATGCAAAGTGCTCCACTTAGGAAGGAACAATCCATTTCACACACACAGAATGGGAAGCGACTGTCTAGGAAGGATACTGCAGAAAGGGATCTAGGGGTCATAGTGGACCACAAGCTAACTATGAGTCAACAGTGTGATGCTGTTGCAAAGAAAGCAAACATGATTCTAGGCTGTATTAACAGGAGTGTTGTGAGCAAGACATGAGAAATTATTCTTCCGCTCTTCTCTGCGCTGATTAGGCCTCACTTGGGGTATTGTGTCCAGTTCTGGGCACTGCATTTCAAGAAAGATGTGGAGAAATTGGAAAAGGTCCAGAGAAGAGCAACAAAAATGATGACTGGCCTAGAGAACATGTCCTGTGAGGGAAGGCTGAAAGAATTGGGCTGGGCTTGTTTAGTTTAGAAAAGAGAAGACTGAGAGGGGACAGGATAGCAGCTTTCAAGTATCTCAAAGGGTCTTACAAAGAGAAGGGAGAAAAATTGTTCTCCTTGGCCTCTGAGGATAGGACAAGAAGCATTGGGGTTTAAATTGTATCAAGGGAGGTTTAAGTTAGACATCAGGAAAAACTTCCTGCCTGTCAGGATGGTTAAAAGCTGGAATCAATTGCCTAGGGAGGTTGTGAAATCTCCATCACTGGAGCTATGTAAGTGCAGGTTAGATAAACATCTATTGGGGATGATCTAGACAGTGCTTGGTCCTGCCGTGAGGGCAGGGGACTAGACTTGAAGATCTCTCGAGGTCCCTTCCAGTTCTAGGGGTCTATGCTTCTATATGAGGGTCACACGAGAGCGTGCTCAGGACACGGATCCCCGTGTGTGGTTGGTCTCTTTGATGATGATAAACAGCATCTGTGACCTCCATGTCAGCATTCCTGGTGCACGCTGCGTAACGAAAACATGAGGCTCCGGGCTCTGGACTGAGGGGGGCCTTTTATCTGGGGACCATTGGGCGCCTCTGTTGGAGAGACCCTGTAAGACTGAACTAGTGGAGTGTGTGTGTGGGGCGGGGGGAGTCTAAGCAGAGGTGCTTTGGCAGAGCTGTGTGTGCAAAGGGGCGGAAGCCGGTGCAGAATTCAGCGCACACTCAGACTGGCTTGTTGGATAACACAGCAGGGGACGGGCTGGGGCTCTGTGAGTGAGCTGATAGCAAAAGGAAGTGAGACTTGCCAAAGGGTGTGTTCGAGCCCCGCCCTCCTCCCCGTTCCAGAAAGGGGGGGGGATTACTGGCTCATGTGTCTGCAACTAGGAGAGAAAGATCTTCTCACATTGCAGCCTGGCCCTGAGGCTGCTCCTAACCCTTTCCCCACTCCTAGTAGTTACTTGACACGTGGGAAATGCCCCCCTCCCCACCCCATGTAAGCGAGGTGGGGAGGGCTGAGGTAAACTTGGGGTGGATTTGGCCCAGTGCACCTGAAAATCCCTAGTTGTTGAATCTTGTTGGAGGAGGGGAGGAAGGGGTGTGCAAGTGTCCAGAAGCCCAAGCTGTCATGGAGAGAGAAGCCAGGGGAAAAGTGTTAGCCCATTGGTTAATGTTTCCCCTAGGTGGCACCTCCTGGCCCATTAGCATCTTCTCCGAGCAGGGGGCACTGGTAGGGGTGTTCTCTGCTCTGTCCCATTTTGGTCCCTAGTCTTTTGCTGAACCATGACCCCCCTCCCTACACCCCTGGGCTGGTTCCAGGTACTCTGTTATTCCCCCTGTCTGGGTGGTCCCACCTCTCTTCCGGGGGAGGGCTGCGGGTGTTGGTTTTGTGGCTGAGACCGTCTGGTGGGTTCCCTGCTGTGGAAGGTCACAGAGGCCAGTTGGTGCTCTGCGGGGCGAGGGAGCTCCAGCCGGGACGTGGAAGGAAGCTCACGCCTGGAGCAGAGTGCTGGGGGGCTGACTGCCTAGGTTTTAGTGGTTTAACGCCTTCCGTGGGAGCGCAGGCTGGGCGATTGAGACTTCTGATTAAGCAGTGAGCTGGCATGCGAGACGGAGAACTAAGCGGCGTGTTCCCTCCCAAGAGCGGGAGATCCAGCACCCGGCCCTGCCTACAGGAGGGAGCGTAGCGGGGTCGGCCCTCACGTCATGTGAGTGGCCCCCCTTTGGCCCAGTGTGGGGGCCTATGCTGCCCTCAGTCTTCAGCCTTATCGGCTGCTCAGCCCTGCGGCCGAGTCACGCAGCCGTCTGTGAACTCACCGCCCCTTCTGGGCAACACCTCTAACCGAGGCCCATCCAGCTGCCCTCGGTAGAGTGTCTCGCTGAGTTGTGTCTCAGCCTGTTCCCCCCCTCCGCTGGAGAGGGGATGAGCGTCCCCTCCTGAAGGCAACTTCCTCAGCTAGCCTCGCAGGCGTCTCGCCTTGGCTACGCCTGCACTGCGGAGCTGTTCTGCTATTCCACATCTTATGAGCAAGCCCGTTCTATCGAATTATAACGGGCTCGCTCTACCGACATCCCCGTAAGCCTCATTGCACGAGGGTTAAGGGACGTTGTGGAATGGCGCCTTATTTCGAAATTTGGCTCTGTGTAGACAGTACCAAGTTTCAAAATAAGCTATTCTGAAATGACCTGGAAATAAGCTGTGTAAATTGCGTAGACACACCTCTTGAGCTCTGCCCCCGCACTGACTGCTGCTGAGCTTTGCAGCTCCTTTTGTAGGCCTCCCTGGCCCCTGATTGGCCAGTTCCTCCAGAGCCTCTCTAGCCACATGGAGGACTTATCTATGACTCTTTCTGGGCTCAGGGCCTTGTCCACCCTGTCACAGGGAGAAACGGTATGTGTGAGGCAGCCATACTCATGTGCTTCCCCCTCAGGGCTGTGTTCAGCAGAGATTGCCAGCTGCGCTGTGCGTTTGCAGCGTGGGCAATGTGCCCCTGAGCCATGTCACTGCGACCACCCGTGGACTTCAGATCAGCCTCTGAACCTAAGGGGTTAAAGTGCTAATCCCTCTGGACGAGCCAGGTCTGGTCTGTTGCTGGAGGGCTGGATGTTTTTTAAAGCTGAGCTCCCGCGATTAAGAATAAGAGTGCGACTGGCCCAGTAGGGCGGCTGTCCGATGAGACGAAATGGTCTGTTTGAGCCAAGGTGCTGCCCGGAGTTGGGGTCTCCTGGCAAACTGAGGGACAAGTGCCGGCAGGTTCTGGAATAACCCGAGGGGCCGGCTGCTCCTGGTGAAGAGGAGATGGGAGCTGCTATGAAAGCGGATATTTGGGGGTGTGATTGAAGCTCTGGAGCAAAGTCACTCAGTGGGATGGGGTCAGGTGTCTCCCAGGCTGGTCGTACTCAGCTACAGGGTTTTCTAGAATTAGTCGCCCGCTGGGAGGCCTGGTGGATAGGGGAGTGAGCTCCGGATGCAGGCGAGATGCTGGACAGAAGGTGGATTCTACCGGTCTTTGGTAATTCTTTGGCTCCATTTGTCAAAGCCTCCATCTGCTTCACCATCTTAAAGGTCTGTGTCTTCCCAGCACCTCCGGCAGGCTGTTGGACCCATTTTACAGATGGGCAGCTGAGACAGACTCACTGTGACTGTGCATCCCTCGCTCATCCCCTTCCTTTGCGGGCCATGGAGAGAACAGGATTGTCTGCATCACCTTGAACATGCTCCTAACGCTGGGAGCTGTGTGGTGTGATGATGCCTGTAGTCTAATGTCATGCTTCAGGGCTTTGCCCAGTGACTGGGAGGGGTCAGGAAGGAATCCCTCCTCCCCCACACCCTCAACACACACTTGGAATCTTTTTTTCCCCCTACCTTCCTTGGAAGCGTGAGAGATCAGCCTCAGCTGGAGACAGGATACTGGCTGGAATGTACCGGTGCTCAGAGCAGGTACAGAGCATCCTCTGTCTTCCAGGCGTGCCTGGTGGGTCTTGCTCATGTGCTTAATGTCCAGCTGGTCACCATAGACAGGACCAGGAAGGAGTCTGTCTCCCAAGCCAGATTGGCTGGCATGCTGGTTTTTATTTTTACCTTCCTTTGTAACATGGGTCTGGGTTCCCCTGCTGGGTTCCCCTCACCCAGTCAGTTGTCTGCCCTTGCTGGACATCGGTGGCTCCTTTGGCTCTCCTGGACTCGTATCTGCAGTGTAGTCTCTGCAGGACTGAAATGCTTTAGTTTAAATAAAGTCACTAGGCTTGACATGGATTTGGCTGCAAGTTAATGAGTCCTTTGTAAGCTTTGCGCTTGGACGGCCACCCAAGAGAGATTCAGGTGCCGCCCAGCTGCTTAGAAGGGCGCCCACAGCCGGTAGCATGTGTTTCTACTTGCGGTGCACATCTGCACAGGCCTCGGTGCACAAAACAAAATTTATTCTGCACATGGATGGAAACAATTAGCGGGAACATCTACAGCCTGTAGTACTGAGGTGATCAGATTATACGACTGTGTGACTCACCTAGGAAGTCTGTACTTGGACCCAGCTGTCCACTAATGCCCTAACCCAGTGTTTCTCAAACTGTGCTCCGCAGAGCCCCAGGGCTCCGCGAGACGTCTCCAGGGGCTCCGTGAGGCTGGCAAACTGGAAACATTGATAGGTTCAGCATGTACAATCAGTGGACCGCTGGGGCTCCGCGTACAGTTTTATGCATGTAAAGGGCTCCGGAGCCCCAAAAGTTTGAGAACCGCTGCTCTAACCAGTGGGCCGTCCTTCCTCTCCCTCTCTAAGAACCTCCCACCAGCAGTGAAAAGGGTTCCCAGGGCAAACTAACCGGCAGATCCCCGTCAAGGGCTTGCCCCCTTGCTGGGGTGTGAGCACGGCAACAGCCTCCTCTCCTGTTGGTGCCAGCCTCTGCCAGGACCCCAGCAAAGCGTCCCAACAGGGGCCTGTTCAGGGGCAGCCTGTGACTATAGGCCAACTCGGCCATTGCCTAGGGCTCTGCCTTCAACAGGGCACTTGGGGTGCCCGATGATGATGTCACGGGGCTCCTGGGGTGCCCGATGATGACGTCACTCCATTGACGGCCGTGCAGGCAAGGGTGCCGATCACACGTTCCACCTGGGGCGCCCGATGATGATGGCATGGGGCTCCTGGGGTGCCCGATGATGACGTCACTCAGTTGACGGCCGTGCAGGCGAGGGTGCCGATCACACGTTCCACCTCGGGTGCCAGCTGCCGCAGCCCACCTCAGGCCACTCCTGGGCCTGTCCCTAGGAGCCATAGGGCACCGCCAGAGCTGGGGTGGGTTCTTTGTGAGCTCCGGCTACGGAAAACCATGAGTCAGTGGTGGCCAAGATGGACCTCAGTCTGTTCCCCAGCCGTGCCCTTCAACACCCTGATCACAAGACAGCTGGGGCGCGGTAACTCCACCTGGCGCAGACTGCGGCAGCTCAAGCCATGCGCCCGCGAGCCCTCCCGGGCACCAGCTGCCCCTAGGGCCGACCTGCTTTGCCGACAGACGAAACTTTCAATAGCCTGGGAGCCAGATATGGGGGGGAGGGGACTGGTCTTTGCTTCTCTCCTTCCTGAGCGCGAGGCTCTTCTTAGGCCAGATCCTGCTGGTGCCGCCGGTGGGCCTGTAACTCCACCCTCCTTCCGTTGCTTTGCTCACGCTCGGGCCCATTGCTCTGCAGGATGTTCTTCGAGCCCGTGACCACGCCCTGCGGCCATACCTTCTGCAAGGAGTGCCTGGAGCGCAGTCTGGACCACCGACCCAACTGTCCGCTCTGCAAGCAGAGCCTCAGAGAGGTAAGATGCGACTCCTGGCCTTGGAACGGGCGGGAGGGGCTGCACTGTTGTTAGTACGTGCCAGCAGGGAGGGCAGCAGGACTGGAGGGATGCTGAAGCCTAATGCTTTGCAAGGGCAATACCGGCCACGCGAGGAGGGTAGAAGACCAGGACTGTGCCCCACGGGGCCATACGCCAAACGGGATATGGGGTCTGCGCACGTGTGTGCATGATCACACACAGCATAGCACTTTTCCACACAATGTGCAATCAGACTGTGGAACTCATTGCCACAAGATTATTCGAGGCCAGGAATTTAGCTAGATTCACCAAGGAACTGGGCATTTATATGGATTGTGTGCATCAAAGGTTATGATAGTGAAGGGTAACAAAAAACGGAAGGGGTTTCAAACCTCATGCTTCCAGGATTAAGGGACTCTCTAGTGGAGAGTAAGAGAAGACCAGCCCAGAGTGGATTATCGCAGGAGTCTCTTACCCCATCCTCTGAAGGATCAGATATTGGCCACTGTCAGAGACAGGATACCCGACTACATGGACCACAGGTTTGAGCCAGGCTAGCAGTTTTTTCCTGTAACCTCTAATTGTATTATGCCTAGAGATCTGTCAGGTGATCTAGATCAGTGTTTCTTAAACTTTTTAAGGCTGAGGAACACCAAACAATATATATATATATTTTTATGAGGAACACCAAGGATTTTTTGTTGACCAAAAAAAAAAAAAAAAAAGGGTTGGGGGCCATTTTGAACTCTATTGTTCTCTGCAGAACACAGTTTAAGAAACACTGATCTAGATGGTGCTTGGTCCTGCCATGAGGGCAGGGGACTGGACTTGATCTTTTGAGGTCCCTTCCAGTTCTAGTGTTCTATGATTCTATGGAGTACTCTCTTGTATAGGGATGTTACATTTAGTTTAATCAACGAATTGACTAGTTGATTAGTTGATAAGTGAGGAGCCATTGGGAGCTGACTCCGCTGCGGCTCTGCTTTTTAAATATATCAAGAGCCTACTGGCTCTTAATACATTTAAAAGGCAGAGCCACAGTGGGATGAGCTCCCAGGTGCTGCAGCTCTGCAGTTACCCCCCCTTATGAATGAATCATGTAGTCGAAGGAAATTCAAGGGGGGGGGGGGGGGGGGCAAGCATGAGCTAGGTCAGCTGATTCCTGTCTCTCGCTGGGTCCCCCCCACTGCACTTTAGTCTTTTCAATGTATTAAGAGCGAGTAGACTCTTGATATATTTAAAAAGCAGAACCACAGTGGAGTCAGCTCCCAATGGCTCTTCACTTATCAACTAATCGACTAGTCAATTAAGAGCGAGTAGACTCTTAATACATTTAAGAAGCAGAGGTGGGACTGGGCACAAACTGGGAATCAGCTGATTCCTGGCTCGTGCCTGGTCCCCACTACGCCCCTCTCCCCCGGCTCTCCTGCCTCCAGAAGAGACAGTACTGGGGAGAACTGGCTGTTAAGCCGACTCCACCCAGCATCCGCTCCTGCTCCCCCATCCCTGGCAGCGTGTGTGTGTGTGTGTGTGTGAGAAAGAGGGGGGGGGGAAGCGACTAGTTGAGGGACTAGCTTTTGCTGGTCAACTAGTTACCTACATCCCTACTCCTGTGGCTGGAATGGGAGGGGACTGTGCCATTGGCAGAAGATGATTTTGGATTCTGTCCTTGCCATTCTTGGATCTGAAATTGGACTTTGGCTCCAGGAGGCGGGGGATGGGGAGATGGATAGCTCCCGGTTTCCGCTGGGCCCCTGGACTCCCCTGCATGCTCCTGCCAAAGGCGCACGTCTTTCCCTCTTTCTTCCAGTACTTGAAGGCGGGGAAGTACAACCCCACCCTGCTGCTGATGGAGATCATGGCGGCCACCTTTCCTGCCCAGCTGGCGGACCGGAAACGGGTGCACGAGGCCGAGATGGCAGAGCTCTCAAAGTAAACAAAGCACGTTTTTCAGTATGTGGCTGGCGGGAGGGGAGGGCGGGAGCGAGTTCACCTGCCCCTGCAGTCATGTGGACAGGGGAGACCGTCGGTCTCCGAGGGGCCTTCAGAGAACAGAGAGAGGATCCCTCTGAGAAGCTCCTGGTGGGTCGCTGGGTTTTTCAGCTTTGGGCCTCTATCACAGAGCAGCTGGATTGGCAGAGTTCTGTTCCCGGCAAGGCCAGAGCGCGGCTTCTTCATGCAGCCCTTGCTGCTTGGTGGAGTGCCGTAATAAAGAGCTGGATTGGGAAAGGCCCGGTCCTCTTGAATGTAAACGGCTCGGAGTCCTCCGCTGCTCCGGGCGGCACGTGGGCTGCACTTGCCACGTCCTCACGGAGCCGGGAGAAGTTTCAAAGCGACCAATAGTCCCTTGTCCCTTTCCTTGCAGTCTGAGCAAGAACATCCCCATCTTCGTGTGCACCATGTCCTTCCCGGGCATTCCCTGCCCGTTGCACGTCTTTGAGCCTCGCTACCGCCTCATGATGCGGAGGTGCCAGGAGACCGGCACCAAGATGTTTGGCATGTGTATGTATGAGAACGGGAAGAGGTGAGTGACAGGCCCGGGTGCCAGCGGCGGTTGTGTTCTTCTTCCTCCCTCCCCCTGTGACTTCCTTCTCCCTCTTCCCGCCCTTCAGACCCGTCGACTCCTCCGTCTTTTGCGGTCGGTCTGTCAATTCCCGTATCATCGTCTTCCAGAATAGTCCAGGTTCAACCTCTCTAATCCGGCACCCTCAGGACCTGACTGGTGCCGAACCACAGGAGGTCAATATTGTCTAGTAGCAATGCCAACACCTACTGCTTACTGGGCTCTGAGATGACATTGAGGGGTAAAATAGAGCTAAACTACAGCACAGAATGCTGAGAGTCAGGAGTAGTGGCTGCAAACTAATTTTGTAGGACTGTGGGGAAACTTGCTACACCCATGCTGAGTGGATATCTGGCTGGCTAACAGACAGATGTTGCCGGACCAGAGAGTAATGGACTGGAGAAATTCAACCTGCAGCTGTCAGTTGTGGGGCCCTGTGACACACGGGAGAGGCGCCTGTCAGTGATAGAAGACAATCCAGGGGTCAGGCGTCACTCGGAGCAGTTCTGCCCGCATTTCTGTTGGAAACCCCCTTGGGAGAATGACCATGGTGAAGGTAGTTTCCCATGAGGCTTAGAGGCAGGGGAAAGGAGGCCCCCTCGAAGCAGGGTTGTCTGCTGTGGAAAATGGTTTGTGTGGACATTATAGAAAAAAATTAGAGGTGATGCAACTTCTTTACAGAGGCATCTTTATGTAATAGAAAGAGGGCTCAAAAGGACCGGAGTGAGCAATAGTCAGTGTGTGTGTTCAGAGCTCACGAGACGTGATTCTTCTGCTCTGCTCTGCGCTGGTTAGGCCTCAGTTGGAGGATTGTGTCCAGTGCTGGGCACCACATTTCAGGAAAGATGAGGAGAAATTGGAGAAGGTCCAGAGAAGAGCGACAAAAATGATGAAAGCTGTGAGGCAAGGCTGAAGGAACTGGGCTTGTTTAGTTTAGAAAAGGGACGTGATGGCGGTTTTCAGGTATCTAAAAGGGGTGTCACAGGGAAGGGGGGGAATTGTTCTCTTTGGCCTCTGAGGATAGAACAAGAAGCAATGGGCTTAAACTGCAGCAACGGAGGTTTAGGTTGGGCAGTGGCGGCTCGTCAATACAGGCGAACTAGGTAGTCGCCCTGCCTCAGACCCTGCAAGGGGCACCCCTCTAGTTCCTTTCACAGCAGCACTGACAGGCCCCTCAGCCCTGGGCACCTCAGGTGGGAAGACGGTGGGTGGCCCACAAGGGTTGGAGATGCTCAGGGAAGATGGTAGGCGGCCCACGAGGGTTGGAGATGCTCAGGGAAGATGTTGGGTGGGCCACAAGGGTTGGAGATGCTCAGGGAAGATGGTAGGCGGCCCACGAGGGTCGGAGATGCTCAGGGAAGACGGTGGGTGGCCCACGAGGGTTGCATATGCTAAGGGAAGATGGTAGGCGGCCCATGAGGGTCAGAGATGCTCAGGGAAGATGGTGGGTGGCCCATGAGGGTCGGAGATCCTCAGGGAAGATGGTAGGCGACCCATGAGGGTCGTAGATGCTCAGGGAAGATGGTGGGGTGGCCCGCAAGGGTTGGAGATGCTCAGGGAAGATGGTAGGCGACCCATGAGGGTCGTAGATGCTCAGGGAAGATGGTGGGGTGGCCCGCAAGGGTTGGAGATGCTCAGGGAAGATGGTAGGCGGCCCACGAGGGTTGGAGATGCCCAGGGAAGATGGTAGGTGGCCCACGAGGGTCGCATATGCCCAGGGAAGATGGTAGGCGGCCCACGAGGGTTGGAGATGCTCAGGGAAGATGGTGGGCGGCCCACGAGGGTTGGAGATGCTCAGGGAAGATGGTGGGCGGCCCACGAGGGTTGGAGATGCTCAGGGAAGATGGTGGGCGGCCCACGAGGGTTGGAGATGCTCAGGGAAGATGGTGGGCGGCCCACGAGGGTTGGAGATGCTCAGGGAAGATGGTGGGCGGCCCACGAGGGTTGGAGATGCTCAGGGAAGATGGTGGGCGGCCCACGAGGGTTGGAGATGCTCAGGGAAGATGGTGGGCGGCCCACGAGGGTTGGAGATGCTCAGGGAAGATGGTGGGCGGCCCACGAGGGTTGGAGATGCTCAGGGAAGATGGTGGGCGGCCCACGAGGGTTGGAGATGCTCAGGGAAGATGGTGGGCGGCCCACGAGGGTTGGAGATGCTCAGGGAAGATGGTGGGCGGCCCACGAGGGTTGGAGATGCTCAGGGAAGATGGTGGGCGGCCCACGAGGGTTGGAGATGCTCAGGGAAGATGGTGGGCGGCCCACGAGGGTTGGAGATGCTCAGGGAAGATGGTGGGCGGCCCACGAGGGTTGGAGATGCCCAGGGAAGTTGGTGGGCGGCCCGCAAGGGTTGGAGATGCTCAGGGCTCCAGCAGTGACGCAGAAGAGCCCCGAGTAAGTGACGTCCATGGTCAGCGGCAGCATAGCGTGGGTGTGATTTGGTGTCCTGGACGTTGGAGGAATCGCTCCCTTGCAGCTGCATCCGGCTTCGGGGGGGGTTTGACAGGGACCTTCCCTCTGTGTCGGGGCTGTATCCTGCCGGTTACTGAAGCCTTTCCTTCCGCTTTTTGTGGACAGCAGCTCCCACCTGGCTGTCACACCTAAGCTTGTCTCCCTCCCCACCCCCATCCCCTCCAGTTTCGCGGACTACGGCTGCATGCTGGAGATCCAGCGCATGGAGTTCTTGCCCGATGGGCGGTCCTTGGTGGACACGATAGGAAGGCGTCGCTTCCGGGTGCTGAGACGGGGCCACAGGGACGGCTACAACACTGCGGATATCGAATACCTGGAGGACGAGAAGGTGAGAGCCGAGCTTGGGGGGCTGCGGCATCCATGCCCCGTGGAGGGGCGGGAGCAGGCACTCAGCAGGGCAGACCACCGGCCGGGAGGGGGCAGTCCGAGAAAGGGGGATTTCAGCGCGTGGGAATGTTCTGTCAGCGCGTTTCTCGGGCTCGGAAGGTCCATTCGCGTCAGCCGTCTGCTGCCGCGTTGCTTTGTAACCTCTGCTTCCCGGCATTCAGCTGTGCTGGGCTTTCCAAGAATGGACACCCGCCACCATGGCCTCCTTCCCCCAGCTGGTGGCCCCTCACTTCTATGCAGGCCAGCTCTGGCCTGGGGGTACCCCCTGCCCCACTGGTGGCGAACGAGGAGCAAGAGCCATGCATGCCCTCCGGGGTGAGGTGCCCCAGGCCTCTGGTCACTGTCTTTTGGGGAGCCACTAACTGCGGGAATACCAGCTGGAGCACGCTGGGTGGGACGGCCTGCTCCAGAGGGGAGCCTGCTGCTGGACTGTGTTACCGAACCAGTTTATCTAACCCCCTCCCCATTGCTCTGCTGTGCTGCCTTCACCTCCTCCCCCGTTCCTCTCCTCCCCACTCCACGCGCTCCCTTCCCTCCTCCTCCCAACCGACTTTCTTCTCCCTGCCGTCCAGGTGGAAGGGGAAGAGCTGGCTGAGCTGCAGCGGCTGCACGAATGCACCTACCAGCAGGCGCAGCAGTTTTGCGAACACGGGGATGCCACCTTGAGGCAGATCCTGCTGCACCGGGGCCCCCTGCCTGAGAAAGAAGAAGACATCCAGGTGAGCGGGGGGAAGGGGGAAGGGTGTCTAGGCCTCGGCAGGAGGGCTGCTGCTGCCGCCTTAGAAACACAAACTGGAGATTCCAGAGCTGCAAAGGCCAGGAAGGCGGCGAGATCCTCTCCTCTGAGCGCCTGCGTCCCCCGGAGCCCAGTGGCGGAAGCAGAGAAAGGCCCCCAGTGTCCATCGCTGAGCAGAGGAGGACCCACCGTTGTGAAAACTGTACACCCGGTTTGAATGTAGCTGCCTTCCTCTGGCAGGCGCTGCCTCCTGGGGTGCTTCTGTCTGCGGGATGAAAGGCCTCCTCCCGTAGCAGGGGTGCCCATGGGCAGACTCTTGCTGACTGCTCCTTTTCATGGCCATGGGGCTGATGGGTAACGCACAAGACATGTTAGCTTGGTGTTAGAGCGTCTGCGGCAGGATGGGCCATTTCCCGCCAGGCTCTTGCTGTTTGCTGGTGACCCCAGAGGTGACAATAAGTCGATGGATCCTGCCGGGTCCAGTTTTTATTCCCGTTGCTCGTGACAGAGTCTCTTGCTTGCTCTGCACCACTTTTAATGCTGGTGGCAGCTGCTGTTTAACAGTTTGCCCACAGATATAGGCGCGAGGGCTGAGGTTGGGGGAGCTGTAGCACCCCTGGGCTCCGAGCACCGTCCCACGCGCTGGGGTTTTGCTCCTTGCTTCAGCTGGGATGGGGGGTGGACAGGTAAGGGAGCCGCATTTCAGGCCTTTTCCTCCCCCCCCAGCCACTCTTTAAAATGTTCCTGGGCCACTGCCCACAGATGCTTTGAAACTGGTCCTGGAAACTGAGCGCCCCATTTTCTGAATTGTCACCTGAGAGCTGAATTGCTTGGGTTTGAAAACAAGTTTCAATATTTGTGGATCCTTCAAGACAGGGCTGGGGAACCTTTTTTGGGTCAGGGGCCACTGACCCACAGAAAAATCAGTCGGGGGCTGCACACGAATGAGAAGCAGCCCTCTCCCCATTCCCCTTGCACACAGCCTAGGGGGCCAGGCTAGCCGATTTTGTGTGCTCCAGCCCTGTGTGGGGGCTGGAGCACCAGTGAGGGTTCCCCAATGCCGGGGTAGCCCCGAGCTTTGGGAACCAGATCCAGGCAAGCCAGGGGCCACATCCGGCCCCCCGGGCCTTAGGTTCCCCCCCCCAGCTAGAGAGGAGGTACCCACAGGGCTGGATCCGGCCCTCTTGTCCTATTCTTCTGACGGATTCCGACTGCAGAACGCCAGCTTTCGTTTGCTTCAGCCAGGGCGTCTCTCTCCCGGCAGGGTGCAGAAATTCTCTTCTGTACGCGGCTGGAGCTTACACCGCCTCAGACAGCCTGAAACTAGAGGCGGGCCCTAGCCGCGTTCCCGTGAGGGACGTGTTTTCTCTGCAACTGGTGGCCATTTTGAAGAGCAGTTTGTCGGCTTGCTTAGGCGCCCCATACACACTAGGGATGCGAACGCACAACTGGGTACACAGTTCACCGAGAAGCCTGGGCTTCCTTGTTAGCGATCACGGTTACACGCAAGTGCCCGCCCTGCTCCTGGGGGGCCAGCTGCCACCCTGAGCTGCTGCCTCCGTATCAGGAGCGGGGCGGGAGTTGGTGCTGAAAAGCCAGTTTCCGGCATGCACCAGCTCCCGGGGAGCTGGCTACCGCTGTGGGTGCATGTAACCATGGAGTTTTTCAGGAGTTACACAATTACCTGCTTTTTAACCCACCTTATTAGGGCTTTTTCTCCCTAATGCGCACCTCACTGGTGTGACTAGGCGCTACCTGCAGATCTAGCAGCTGCATGTGCAGATGGCCAAAGAGCAAAGATAATACT